ATGCAAGTCTCAGACCCAAAACCCACACCTACTTAACCACAGCCTTTACTTCAACAAGACCCCAGGTGACTCATGTGCATTAGTATTTGAGAAGCTCCAGTGGTGTGTCCTCTGGTTAGGGTGTATTTATCAATCCTTCTCTCTAACTATATGTATACATACCTGTACACACACCACACAAATCATATACAACACCCTCACAAACACATATAAACCATACATATACACCCCCCCCACATATTCCTCCTATACACTACATACACCCCCCCCCATACATACACATGCATGCACACTACACTGAATTGCCATACAAGATACATGCTCACTATCAAATAACCTATGGTCAGGAGGTCTGGACTAGCTAAAAATTTAGGGATTCCTGGAGGATGGGGTGGGTTCTACATGAGCTGGATTTGAGGATTTTGATATTAATAAACAAGGAACCCCTGAGGATTTATTTGGTGGGCACTTGCTGTGTGCAAATTGGTGTTTTAAAGAAATGAACCTGATAGCGATGAGCAGGATGTTGTAAATAAAAAGAACAGGAAGGCCCCAGGTGGCAGTCATATTCCAAAATATTAATGGGACTGTTTCTTTGGTTAATACATTATGCATGACTGCTTTATGCTTTGTCTTTTGTATTACTTACAAAATATATTATACTCCAAACTTTCTACATTTTGTGTCTATTACCTTTGCAACTAAGATAAAAAAATAAAAACCATACAAAGCCTTTCTAGGCTCACTATTGTTTGGGCCAGTACTAGGACGGGGGGACAACTATGAGAAACATAAAAAAGAGAGAGTACTCGAAGTCTAGGAAATTCTGCTTATTCTTTAAAATTCCATGTAAGATTTCCGGTCAAGATGGCAGTGTAGGTAAACAAGATACTCACCTCCTCCCAAAACCACATCAAAAATCAACTAAACTACAGAACAACCATCATTTAGATCTGCATGAAATCTCAAATCGAGCTGAATGGAAGTCCTACAACTATGAACTTAAAGAAGAAGCTACATGGAGGGGGCGGAGGTGCGTATGGGCTGGTCCCATACCCACATGAGGGGGATAAAAATCAGGATGCATACCCTGGCCAATTTGGTTCAGCGGTTGGAGCGTCGGCCTGCAGACCAGTGCATCGCGGGTTCAATTCCAGTCAGAGGCATGTACCTTGGTTGTGGTTCGGTTCTGGCCCTGGTCGGGGCCATGTGGGAGGCAACCAATCGCGGGGCCATGTGGGAGGCAACCAATCGATGTGTCTCTCTCACATCGGTGTTTCTCTCTCTCTCTCTCTCTCTCTCTCTCTCTCTCTCTCCCCCTCTCCCTCTCCCTCTCTCCCTCCCTCCCTCCCTCCCTCCCTCTTTCCCTTTCTCCCTCCCTTTTTCCCTCTCTCCCTTTCTCCCTCCCTCTCACTCTATCTGAAGATAAATGGGGAAGATATCCTCAAGTGAGGATTTAAAAAAAAAATCAGGAGGGCTACCTCAACTGGGAAGATACTAAGGAATGAGGGGTCCCTGTCCCACCCCCAGGAGCCCCAGCTCAGGGTTCTAGTTCCAAGAAGAGAGGTCTCCATAACTTCTGGCTGTAAAAACCAGTGGGAATTGAGGCTGAGGCTACTGGATTCTGCAGTTCCTCTTAAAGCGCCTGGCACAGACTTATTCAGACTCACTACCTCTGGGCTCCAGCATGGGGGAGGCAGCTTGAAAAGCACCAGAGACATTTAGGAAAGACCTGAGTTGTTTGGCATTGGGGTGAGAGCTGGAGGGACAGCTTTCTCTGGGACAGATATGCTGGCAGAAGCCCTTGTTCCTTTGGTGAACCCTTCCCCACCAGGGCAGGTAGATGGGCGCCATATCTGGGACTCCAGCAATCTGGCTCACACTCTTTGCCCCACCCTGGTGATTCCTTGAGGCCCTGCCCCACCCAACTTTTTGGCCCACCCAACCTATTTCCAGAGGTTTTACCATAGGATTGGCCTGTCTTGGCTCATGCTTTGGATTTTCCTAAAATCTCTCAAACAAGCAACATCTGGCCCCAGGTTTGGCACTAGCAGCAGCTGGCCTTGGTTCACAGCTTGGCCTCTCCCAGGCACCTCCAAGCCCAGCACGAGAAGCAGCCATCTTCATGTCATTTTATAGTTTATGCCTGGTGGCCCCGAGTAGAACACACATATTGGCTGACTTTGGCCTGCTCCTCCCGGAGGCCCAAGAGCCACAACACCCATTGGACAGGTTCAGACCATGTTGAAGCACCACCCCCCAGCCTCCTCCACAAGCAACACACTGAAGGGGTGGACGCAGTGGGTACCAGAACCCTGCTCAACTAAGTCTTGCTCTGGGTGGTGGGCCCCTGCACAGCTAATACTCCGAAATGGTCAGAGATCAGTGGCCAGTGGTCACAGCCAGTCCTTGCAGCTGATCAGCCTGAGAAAATCTCTCCCATTGACATGCTAACAGCAATTAAGACTCAATTATAACAGAAGGGTGTACAGTCCACATGGGAGGGGGCACCTTAAGTGTCCAGCTGGGGAAATCAAGGAGGCTATGCCACTGGACCCTACAGGATGCCTGCTATAACAGGCCGCTCTAGGAAGCCTAGGAGACATAGCAACTCTACCTAATACATAGAAACAAACACAGGGGGGCAGCCAAGATGAGGAGACAATCATATCCTAAGTGAAAGAACAGAACAAAACTTCAGGAAAAGCTAAACGAAATGGAGATAAGCAATCTAACAGATGAAAAGTTCAAAACACTGGTTATAAGGATGCTCAAGAAACTTAATGAAGACCTCAAGAGCATAAAAAAAGAACCAGTGATAAATGATGTACTAACTGAAATAAAGGAAAATTTGCAGGGTATCAATAGTAGAGTAGGTGAAGCCAAGAATCAAACCATCAATTTGGAATATAAGGAAGCAAACAACACACAATCAGAATAGCAAAAAGAAAAAAGAATCCAAAGATAGTGTAAGGAGACTTTGGGACAACTTCAGATGTGCCAACATTCGCATCATGGGAGTGCAATAAGGAGAAGAGAGAAAACAAGAAATTGAAAATCTATTTGAAAAATTAATGACAGAAAAAACTTTGCAGGCCAGAAGGGAGTGACAAGAAATACTCAGATGATGAAAAGCAAGGACCTACAACCAAGATTACTCTATCCTGCAAAGCTATCATTTAGAGTTGATGGACATGTAAAGAGTTTTCCAGACAAGAAAAAGCTAAAGAAGTTCATCACCACCAACCAGTATTATATGGAATGTTGAAGGGTCTTCTTGAAGAAGGAGAAGGAGAAGAAAGAAGAAGAAAAATATGAACAATAGAATGGCAATAAATACATATCTATCAATAATTGAATCTACAGCCCTGGCCAGTTTGGCTCAGCGGTTAGAACGTCAGCCTGCGGTCTGGAGAGACCCGGGTTCGGTTCCCGCTAAGGGCACGTACTTCAGTTGCAGTTTGTCCCCGGCCCTGGTCGATTGTGCGGGTGGCAGCCACTCGATGTGTCCCTTCACGTCGATGTTTCTCTCTCTCTCCCTTCCTCTCTCTCCCTCCCACTCTATCTGTACAAAAAATGGAAAAATATCCTTGGGTGAGGATTAAAAAAATAAATAAATAAATAATTGAATCTACAAACAACATGAACAAACAGAACAGAAACAGATTCATAGATACAGAGAACTTTTTGTTGATTGTCAGATAGAAGGGGGATTGAGATAGACTAAAAAGGTGAAGGGATTAAGAAGTACAAAATGATTGTTAGACTGACAAACATCAGAGGGTGTGGGATGCAGGAAGAGATAAACCAGAGAATTTATATGCATGTATGCATAACCAATGGACACAGACAATAGTGTGGGGAAGGCAGGAGGGGAGTGGGAGCAGGGAGGAGGGGATCAGTGAGAGGAAAAGGGGAAGACATCTGTAATACTTTCAACAGTAAAGATAATTGAAAAAAAATTCCATGTGAGCATTGCCTCCTGTCCTCAGATTTCCTGGTGAATCTCTTCCTGCCCTCCTCTTCAGTTTGGTTAGTACATGGTGCAGGCTGGAATGAAAAAGATATGAGCGAAGTGCTTATCTAAGGTCAAAGAATAAGTGTCCCAACAGGCAAAAGATGTCTATCTGGGCAGCTGAACAATTGAGGTGCTTTGGGAAGAACTGCAAGATCTTGGGGTGGTGTCTAGTTTTGGAGGAAAGGTCTGCATCTGAAGCCCTTTTTAGGTGTTCTAACTTTGTCATCACGGTAAAAAAAAAAAAAAAAGACAGAAATTACAAGAAAGGACTGAGTTGGAGTAGGGGTGGTTTTGATTTTACAAACTAGAACTGACCTCTCCCAAACATCTTGTGACTGATTAACCACTCTACATGTCCTCCTGTTGGTCTCGTAGGGATCCCTATATTTAGGCACAGTGGGTTTAGACAGGATGTGCTGGCAGCCCACACTTCTGCAGAGCTTGCCCACGAGCTCAGCCCCGAGGCTCCGTAAGCCCCTTGGCACCAAAGCTAGTTGGTGTGTAAGTGCTCCTTGGATGGTCAATAATGCCCTGACCCAGAGCAGCAGGGAGAACACACTCCATGTTCTCGAAGAACATTTCAGCTTTCCCAGGCTTCTCAGTTTGAACATTTGTAATCTGGATGCAAGAGCATAATCCATTTCATGTGATATATAAAATGAATTAGGGAAAATAAGTTCATACACAGAAATTTATGAGAACAAAAATAACTTCAACAAGTGAGTGTGTCATTCTTATGAGGAGAATAGTGGGTAATGAAATGAAGGCTCACTAGAAACCCAATCACGGAGTCTTGGGTGTAATATTAAGCCCTGCAGGCCTGTCAGTGATGGCAGAGGTAGGTGTTCTGCAGGCTCACACCCACTGCCTCTTCCCAGTGCTCACCAAAGTCAGAGTTGGCCCCACAGGAGGGGAGAGTTCCTTTGTCTGGGGCAAGAGGATGCTTATCAGTTTAACCTAGCCTCCTGGGCTTGTATTCCAGATCATCAGAAAAGCCCTTTCTGAGGAAAAGCAGGTCTCAACAAAAACATCAGCTGCAGATCTTGTGACAGAAACAGATCACCTTGTGGAAGATTTAATTATTTCTGAGCTGCAGAAGAGGTTTCCTTCACACAGGTAGGTGTGTTCCTCGGGGAAAGCACCCCAGGCACACGTTGCCACATTCATGAAGAAGGCCAGGGTCTAACTTGGGGAGGCCACGCTGCTGGTCGATAGGGGCAGCCCTCAAACAAGAGGCCTTGCCATCGGCCCCCTAATGTGGTTTTGTTTTGTTGTATTGTTTGGTTTTGTTTTGTTTGGTTTTGTTTGGTTTGGTTTGGTTTGGTTTGGTATATGCCCCTAGCGGGAACCGAACCCAGGACTCTCTGGTCCACAGACCGATGCTCCAACCCCTGAACCAAACCCACCAGGGTGGTCCCTGATGTTTTGATTGTGTGGAGAACAAACTGACCCTTGTTTTCATTCTTTTACTACCATCTTGATAACCCTCCTGTCACTGTATTACCTTACAAATACGAAAAAGGCTTCACTTTCCACAACGCATGCTCAGGGGAAGAGCTCTGCTGCCCTCTACTAAGCCACTTAGCATGTTTCTGCAGGGACTTGGAGCAGTAATGTTCCTTGGCAGCCCGTGTGTTCTTGGTAGTGCCATGCATATTTTCTAAGGATGTGACTGTGTGGGCCCAGGTCCACTGCCTGCTGGTGTGCCTGCTAGTACGCGGTGTGGCAGTCTCCTCTCCAGGCCACAGCAAGCGACAGGGAAGGCTGCTCTCGTTCCCTAAGTCTTTATGAGGACCCACCCTCTTCTCTAGAGAAGTTCTTAATTTTTGGAGTCACCATGTGTAGAATCCAATGCAAACTATAAATTTTTTTCCTCAGAAAAATTAAAATATTTACACAGCATTTTGCATCTAGTTCCAAGGGAGCCACAGACCTCAGAGGAAGACTGTCATTGAGCTCTAGGGGGCTCCTTGGGTCCCTCCCTCACTCCTGGAATTCTGCAGAACAGACTTTGAAAACCACTGCCATGATTTGAGAGTTCTCTTTCCTTTCTTATGGAGAATGGCTAAAACTGGAATATCAGTGTTGATTTCTGGGTATAGATCACTGTAATGGCAAGATTCCACATTTCTATGTACTTATGGAGCAGAAAGTCTAAGGCCATCTCCCTCAGCATCTCTCTAGCAGAGGGTAGGCACAGTAAACTTTCTCCCTGTGAATAACTAATTGAAGGAAAGAAAGGACAAGCTGCTGTTCAAATTCTTCCTTTATTTCCTGTTGTTTCCTTCCAGCTGGTTAGGTTACCTCAGGGTCACCAATTCTCCCTTCAGAATTCTCTCTGCCAATGGGTTTATTTATTCTCTTTTGTTTTGTTGATAACCTTTGTGTTTGAGTGTCTGTTATTTCATATTTCCTTATTCTATGTGAAGTTGGGATCTCTGACATCTGTTATAATTTTTATAAGCTCTAAAATGTTTATAATTTTTTAAACTTTTAAAAATCTAAATTAAATGGCAATATCAAAAGAATTATATAGTTTGCTTTTACTCTTTGAGAGGAAAAAAAAAAAAACAGCCAGCTGTTTCTGGTTGAGGAACTATTTTGGTTCTCGAGATTTCAATGGGATTGGTCCAGTTGGCTATGACAGAAATGAGGGCTGGATCAGCTTTGTGGGGTCCTAGTAAAGACTTTGAGGCCACTGCAGAGTAGGCATCATGGCATTATCAGGGTTCTGGCTGTTTTCAGTCAGATTACAGTACTCTGATAAACCAAATTCTAAAATTATAGGCCCTATTGTGTGTGTTGGCAGCATCTGCTAGTGGTTTGGATCCAATATTGTATCAGTAAGGGGTGTGGACTCCATTTTCACAAAGTAAATTTAAGTATTGCTGTGTATCACAGAATAAAGGTCAACATATTATATGCGTGAATGCAGCTTCTCCCACCTCCACTCGGCATCCTCATGGTCACCCAGGGACCATCAGGCTCCGAAGCCCCTTTGGAAAACCATCTACCCAGAGCAGTGCACCTCACCTAGAGTATGCATCAGGCTCATCTGGGAGTGTCAGCTGGATAACACCAAGCCTCTGTTTCTGAAAAGGCCCTGGGAGGTGCAGATGCGCACACCTGACCAGGAATCAGTGATTCAGAGCAGTGGCTCCCCAGCTGCGGTCCATGAGCTCATACCACCTGGCATGAGGGCAGAGATGTGGCTGGCCTGTGGTCAGCCCGTGGGTCTTTACCCAGACTCGCTTCTCTGCTTTGAGGGCAATGCTGGGACATGACTGAAGGCTGGATGCCACTGCTCCTATTCTCTGCTCAGTTTGCCCAGAAAATTCAAATGAAATGAAATCATTGTTCAACCTTTCTATGGTCAAGTTTGGTTTTTGCCAATGACAAAGATTTAAAAGAAAGTACCAGAATTTTTATCATTTAATTATGTTCTATATCATAGATAAATTTATGATGGGAAAAATTGCATTCATATTGTCAAATAAAACAATATGTTGTAATTTCTCTGCTTCCACAGTATTACACTATAGCCCTTAAACAACATGTTAGCAGAAGGTTGCCTATCATCCTTTTTTAGGAAGGATTTTCTTTCATTCTGAACTCATGTTCTTTCTCATCTTAGTCTTTCATGAAAGAATATTAAAGATAGATTGTAACTGTTTTGTTTTAACAACTTGATTTAGGCTCCCTGGTTTATTATTTTACCTTATTCATTCATGAAATATAAAGTCCAGGTCCCTGATCTGAACGACAGATCAGATCATAGACTGATTCAGACGTAGACTGAATCAAATATTAGAAAGGTTTAAATTTGCTTCTGCCCCCAGCTTTGGCAATCACCCTGCTTCTCAGGGTCTCATCTAGGAATGAAGTACCCAAACAAGGTCAGCTCTGCAGTTCCTGAACTAAGGCTGACATGTGGTGGTGATGACAGAAAGCAAGCCAGCAGGTCAAGGTTGAGAGTTCCAGTTCTCCATCCAGGCCTGCCCCTATTGCATGCTTAAACCTGTTTTCAGTTGATTTTGAGTTAGATCCAAGTTTTGCAACTTTGAAAATATTCAGTAGCATCACTGAACCATATGTATATACACCTGTCCTTGTTTTTTGGTCTGGGTTGACACAGGCGAAGGGAAGAAGAGAGCAGCTTCAGCTGCTCAGTATCAACAGCCACCTGCCTTGTCGTAGTCTGGACCCCCTTTTGTGGCATGAGGCCTGTCCATTGTGGTGACATCTGTGCCCTGCAGTGTGCCCAGCACAGTCCTGGACTTGGAAAAAATATGTTCCCAGCCACTACCAGCTAGACACTTGCTATTCCCACTTGTTTTGCTCCGGGTACCCATGTCTGGGCAGCAGAACTGCTGTAGTGCTGAGGGTGGGGAGGGCTGCAGCCTGAGAAGTTGGAGCTGAGGAACATTAATTGGCTCCCTAGTGGCCTGACCTTGTCACAGAGTAAATACTAGACAGGAAGAAAAGCCCCAGATGCACTTGGCCATCAGTTATGACTATTAGGAAAAGAAGAAAGTAAATTATGCAGCAGAATATATCATTCTAATTTTTCATCTAACTTTGAACCTTATCTCATTTGCTCTTTTTCTCTTACATATTAGATAGACTAATGAAATGGCCCTTGACGTCCTCAAATGTAGCCACATGCATTGTTTTTTCCTATTTGTGTCACTAATTTTATGTAGATGTTCCAGTGCTCTTACTAAGGTCTCACATTTTCTTTTCTCACTTCCCTTTGTCCAAGTTGATGTCCCCACTCCCTCTGTGGAGACCTGAAGAATGTTCTCTCTCATCGGTGGTATTAGCTTCCCACACAAGGACAATCAGGTTTAAGTGAATAAAACCTCTACATCCTTCCCCAGTGAGGTAATTTTAGTGTCTCAAGAGTGGACACAGGCCACACCCATTAGCTTCCAGGCGGCCCTGCCCCAGAGTACCAGCCACAGGCACGGAGCAGGTAGGCAGGTACTGATGTGCCTTTCACCTCCTTCCACTCAGGCAACCAGGTAAAGAGAAGAACTCTTGAGCATGAATAACCAGCTACTGAAAAAGTTCAGAGTGCTTTGAGTTACTCCTATCAGAAATGCTGTGCAGAGCAAAAGCTGTGCTAACAGGAACATTATGGGTGCTGATGCGAACAAGGTGCTTGGAGGCCTCAGACACCGAGTCCCACACATTTTGCTAATGAAGTAGCAGACCTGTGGCCCTGGTGTTTTCAGGAGCCCCCTCCGTGTGCTGAATGGATGGCCTTTGAGCTGCAGGCCATTTTCTCTGACACGCGCCTTAGCTGTCAGTCCTGCAGGTGCTTTCCTCCTCCAGAAGACCTCAGCAGTCTCCCCTCCAACTTTGGTGGGTACCAACTTCCCACTTAAAATCACGTTTAATTTCAAAAAAGAAAAAATTCTACGTTCCTCCTCAGTTTCCTGGGAACTGATCTTTGCATGTGAGTCATTTCCATTCCCATTTTGACCTCACTGATGTCTTCTTACTGCTTTGTTAAACATGTGCCAATGTAAACTTTGGCACATGATCATTGTGTATTTTTAGGGTGTGGAGACTTTTCTTTAAGAACCTATTCATAAGCCATTTCAGGGGAAAATCATATAGCCATAGAAGAAGACATTAAAACAGATAATTCCTTAAGACTTTGGCCAAGTAAGTGGGCAGAGCTAATTCCATGTTTAATTATCAGCTAAGTGGAGTGATTCTTTGTGTACATCACCTGTGTTTCTGCTGCGTTCAGGAGTTTGGGTGTCATTGCCTGGCCACACCCTGCCCGGCATGGCTCCTCTGACTTCCTTGTGCCTTTTACCATGGGTTTCTTCCACTTGGACTTGCTGCCTGGATGGTGTGATCCAAAGGATCCAACAGTCCATAGAGGGAGGTGATGGTAGGGAGGCCGATCCCAGCTGGAGTGGTCAAAAGCAGGGAACCAGTGTCCACTCCCTTCAGTCCAACTCTAGATTGTAAGCATCTGGGGGCAAATGGTGCTGGCCCAAGCCTTCCTGCACAGCTGCCATTTTTCAGGCATAAATCCCTCAGGTGTCACTCAGTGCTCCTCAATGCTTTGCCTGCTCCTGCATCGGTTTCTCTAGGAGACCATGAAGAGGGGAAGGTGGAAACACCAACCTGAAAATGATATATGTACACTTGTCATGTACCCTGATGCATTTCCACACAATTTATCTAGATGGAAGGGGCTAGATGACTGTGTGTGCATATAGAGCATGCATTTCATAATCTATGCAATGGAAATGAACTGAGAAGTGATATCAGAATGCAAGGGACTTGTTCTTGCTTCATAGCGCTACAGACAAGGACAACCCTGGCCCTCAGAACTTCGGTGAAGACAAAAATGTGCTCTCTGGCTGTCCACTGTGATAGCCTTTAGCACTTGGAATGTAACTAGTAAGACTAAGGAAGTGACTTTTTAATTATTTTAAATTTTACTTAATTAAAATTATTTAAATTTAAACAGCCATAGGTAGCTAGTCGCTGCTGGATTGCCCAGAGCAGTTTTCATTTAAGTCTTTTTTTTTTCTTTTAATTTTTTTTTTTTTTTTTTAGAGAGAGGAAGGGAGAAGGAGAGAGACAGAAACACCGATTAGCGAGAACACTGATTGGCCACCTCTTTTACACCCCCAACTGGGGATTTGGCACACAGCCGCATGTACCCTGACTGGTAATTGAACCAGTGACCTCTTGGAGCATGGGTTGACACTCAACCACTGAGCCACCTTCGCCGGGCTCCATTTCAGTCTTTTTGTTAACGATATGATGTCAATCTCATCTATAAGTTCATTGATCACAGTTCTTAAAACACATGGTTCCTCTGGGACGAGTTATTTCTAGGAGCACCTTACAGCTGAGGGGATAGCGTCCTGCCCAGCACTCTGACCTCTTAGCCTCTGACATCAGGGGCTAGGCAGCTGCCTGATGACCATGACAGCAGTGGGATATGTATTTCTTGTTCATCACTCATGTTTCCTTCTTAGTAAAAATATATTGTCTTCAGGTCTCCTTTTTCTCTAGTACAGATATGGATATGACATGAGATGCTAATGGAGAACCTCTTAGCAGGGCCTTGTATTTGCACATAAAACAAATGTTTGCTTGGTACCTGCCATGAGCCAGGCCCTGGTGACATGGCAGTGCAGAGGCAGAGGCCCCACCCTTGGCGAACCTGGTGCTGTGACAGGAACATATACCAAGCATTGTGCTGAGTACTGTCTTGTCTGCTTTAGATAGAATGTGCTCTTTACTCCCAAGAACAGCTCCAGGAGGCATAAGCAAGGGCCAGCTTGGCAGGGACACCAGCTCATAGGCAGCAACTGTGATTTGCACACCAGTGCCTGAATGACCATCACTGGGCTGTGCTGAGCCTGTGTGGATGGTTTGAGGAGGGAGAAGGACAGGAAGAAAGAACTTAGGATACCTTCCCTCATCTGCAAAGGGTCCTTGCAGATGCCGTTTGCTGAGATAACTATGAATAAAGACAACCAGCAGCTCCCTTTTGTACAGGCTAATTTCAAGATGTTGGTTGGTTTGTTCAGGTTCCTAACAGGAAATAGATGGCCCACTCAAATGAGTATGGTTTCAGGAGGGTTTGGACTACAGAGGACTAATTACAAAGGAGGGGTCCAGGGACAGGGGCCCCTCCAGCTGGTGCAGGGTGGTGCATGGGCCTGAGGCTAGGATGCTCCTGTGGGGGCTGCCGGGGAAGATGGGTGGGGGATGCTCAAAGGAAGGGATAGGGCCCTGGCTGGTTTGAGCGTCAGCCTGCGGTCCAGAGAGACCGGGCTCGGTTCCCGATAAGGGCATGTATCTCGGTGGTTGTGCGGTTGGCAACCACTCGATGTGTCCCTTTCACATCGATGTTTCTCTCTCTCCCTCCCACTCTATCTGAACAAAAAACAAAAAATGTCCTCAGGTGAGGATAAAAAAATAAAAATACAAAAAGGAAGGGACAGGGCAATACTCTCCTACTTTCTCCTTTCCCTTGGGTTCCCAGGGGGCAGCCTTTCCGAGGGGCAGCCCACCTCGGGTTCTTGTGCAGAAGCTAGAGTGGAGGGGTGCTCTGTGGAGAATTGTTAGCTCCCATTGAGCTCGTAGGGTGGAGACCTGTGGGCACAGATGTACTTGTCACCTTGTCTGCAGTTCAGGAGAAGCCAGGTTTGGTACAGACCTGGGAGGTATCAGCTGTAGGTGACATTTAACATCTCAGGTCCAGCGAGGCTGTCTTCCCCAGGATACAGTACTACTAGTGGGAGAATCCGAGCCTGGGCTCTGTCTGAGGCTGGCGTTCCTCATGCTTTTCCTTCTCACGTGTCTTCGGTCTTCTCTCCTCCAGACTAAAGTTAAAACAGACTTTAGCATTGCTTTATAAGATCTGCTTTCCAGGGTTCTTCATTCTTGTATTTTTTGTATTGCTTGGCCTACTCACCCCTCCTGATGCTTTTCCAAAACTCCTACATCAAAATGTTACGTTGCATTTTCTAAATCCTGCTGAGCCAGAAGACTGGCAGACAGATGGAAACCCAGATGATCTATTTCAGACTCTGCCCTGTTTGACCCAGAGAAATTATAATGAAATCTCTTTACTGTGTCTGCTTTGTCTTTGATGGAACCAGAAGCAGTTTGAAGCACTTTGTCTTGAGTTCTTGGTGCATTTTCTCAGGCTGAGCTCCTGCCCACCACAGGTTCATTGCAGAAGAGGCTGCGGCTGCAGGGGCCAAGTGCGTGCTCACCCCCAGCCCCACCTGGATTGTTGACCCCATTGATGGCACCTGCAACTTTGTGCACAGGTGAGCATAAGCACAGTCACCCCAATCTAGTGCCTAAACTGTCCTCTTCTCTAAGACTTTGTCTTTCCCAAAGCAGCATTTTTGGAGGCAGAAATATATAAGCAAATATCTAATAAGTTTATAGTCTCATTACAAAGGTAATCAAGACAATATTTTTAAAATAAAGTTTCCAGCCGTGGCCCATTGCTCAGTGGTTAGAGCATCACCCCATGGATTAAAGGGTCACAGGTTTGATTCCTGTCAAGGGCACATACCTGGGTTGCATTTCAGTCCCTGGCCCTGGTTGGGGTCCTGCAGGAGGCAACCAGTCTGTGTGTCTCTCTCACATCGATGTTTCTCTCCTCTCTCTCTCTCTTTTTCTCTCTTTCTTCCTCCCACTCTAACTGAAGATAAACAGAAAAATATCCTCAGGTGAGGATTTTAATTAATTAATTTAAAAAAATAAAGTTTTCCATTTTGTGAGAAGTCTTCACTTGTTTAAAACCATTGTCTTTGTTACATTTACAATGTTGGGTTGAATTAAGAAGGACTCCTAGAGATGTAAGCATGGTTAGAAAGCAAGTGTGTACAGCCCATTAGCTACCAGAGCATGAGGGGTAGGCAGAGGCATGTGAGGGTTGACATTCCAGTGCTACCTTTTGAGTGGGAGCAAACCTCATGTCACCATGAGATGGAATGAGGAGCCCATTAGAAGCAGGTCAGGACTAATCTGACTGGACTAAAAACAGCCAAATAGCAGGTTGTAGGGAGCTCAGAAGGGCCTTTGGAGGTAAGGGAAGGGTAGTGAGCTACAGAGGCCGGGCTGTGACAGACGTGTCCTGGAAGCTCTGACCAACGGGGTAGGCGTTGGAGCTGTACCCACTTGTCCAGGACTGTGGGCATTGAAAGGGATGTGGTTTCCATAGAGGGTGGTTCTCTAATGGGAACACGGACAGAACCCTGGATTCCTGGTTGACACAGCTTTCTAGCCCATCCCCAGGTCCCCACTCAGTAGGTTGGGGCATCCCATGGATCTGCACTCCTGGACCATACGTGGGGTACCCCTGTCATAGATGATGTGAAAACACTCCATTTCCTCACTTTAAGTAATAAAGTGTGGGCTCAGCCAGATGATGGGGTTCTTACTCTTGTCACTGTCCTCTTATGTGTTGCTGTAAGCAATATGTTTATATGTAAGTAGGAAAACTAGTTCTGATGTAGCACATTAATCATCACCCTTTCCTAAATGTGGTTTATCTCTCTCTTTTTTTTTTAACGTTTTCATCAATTATTTTAGAGACAGAGGAAGGGAGAGCTATAGAAACATCGATGTGAAAGAGAGACATCAATTATCTGCCTCCTGCACACCCCGTCCTGGGAACCGAGTCAGCAACCTGGGCATGTGCCCTGACTGGGAATTGAACTGGAACCTCTCAGTCTATGGGATGACTCTCAATGCACTGAGCCACACCAGCCAGGCTAAATGTGGTTTATCTAAGAATTCTGTCAGTCATGCCCACATAAGTGACCTTTTTTTTTTTTGGTTTGGTTTTGTTGTGGTTTTTTGGTTAATCCTTATCTGAGGATATTTTTCCATTGGTTTTTATTTTGTAGAGAGGGTGGAAGGAAGGGGGGGGGAGATCGTGGATTGCCTCCCGCATGTGCCCCCACCAGGGCCAGGGATCGAACCTGCAACCCAGGTACGTGCCCTTGACCAGGACTTGAACCCAAGACACTTTGGTGTGCAGGCCAACACTAACTATTGAGACACACTGGCCAGGGCCAGGTGACCCTTTTTAGGCAAATGAATAGTGCCATCTGGTGATAAAGCAACAGTCACTAGACTATGATATTTTAAACGTATGTTTTTATTGATTTGTTTTTTTAGAGAGAGAGAGAGAAACATCGATGTGAGAGAGAAACATCGATCAGCTGCCTCCTGCAGGCCCCCTCCTGGGGATGAGCCCACATCCTGGGCATGTGCCCTGACTGGGAATTGAACCCGTACCTCTCAATCTATGGGACTGTGCTTGATGCACTGAGCCATACTGGCCAGGCTAGATACTAAGGCTTGACACCCCCTGGGGAATTCATGTGGAATCACAGATCTCCCTTCTTAGGTGTGTTTTCTGAGTGGAGCACCTATTACTTCTTTGTCACTCACCATTCTATGTGCTGGTAATGGGGACAGGGTGGCTGAGCCCCATGGTGTAGTAAAGGGGAACATGGAGCCAGAGAGACAACTTGGAGAAAAGCATCATCTGGAGAATACCCTGTGGTGCTGACCCTTACAGTTCCAGAACACTGTCAAGGGCCACAGCCATGTGATTCTCATAGCCGAAAGACACGTGAAGCCTTTGGCCGCTGCAGCTCAGTAGGACCTGTTTGTCCTTATGTTCAGCAGTGGCAGTGTTGGGACTGAAGCAGGTGGCAGAGAGCTCCTCTGAGAGTCAGAACTAAAGCTGGGCCTGGCTTACAGGGCACTTGCTTGGTGAGCCAGCCACCAACGATCATAGTCATGGCTTGCCACCATGGCAGTCAGCACATAGATCTGTATGACTGGTTTTGAAGTTTTTCTGTAGGTTAGCAGTTCCTAGCCTTTCCTTGTTCCTACTTGTTGTTAAGTTCTAATGATCTTCACACAAAGGAAAACTTATTTTAAAGACGCAGAGCAGCAAAAAAAAAAAAAAAAATCACAAAATAAAACCATAGGCAAACTGCAATGTCATAACCAGCCTGTGACCACTGTGGCCCACGCCTGCTATTTGTGCTTGGGTACTCATGTGAAAAATAGGGTGAGGACCGCTGTTATTGTTGCCCAGGCCCAGCCTCTGGAAGCTATGGCCTGGGGCCAGTGATGTCACCTCCTGGAGGCCCCTCATCACTCCACCTGGGCATGAGTCAGGCCTTTTTGGAAGTCTTGGCTGTCCCTTTAGGTCTCTGAGACCCAGAAAGTTGATTATTACAATCCCTCTCAATTGGGTACTTGGTCATTGTTGAATTTTATGAGTTTTACATGACTTTCAGAATACTACTTTCTTTCAAGATCTTACAACATGGTCAGCTAAGCCTACTTGTCTTGGAAGCAGTTAGTGAAATTGTGGGAAGTAGCTTTTGAAAAACAGACCCACTGCACTGTAGCAAGGTCCTTCTGTGTCTTGGGTGACGATGCTGCGCAGCCACACACAGGCTCCTGAACGCTTGCATGTTGGTGTGCAAGAGGCTATTATCTTTTAGAGGGTAAGCCATTCTGTTTTCCTTTGCAGATTTCCAACTGTGGCAGTAAGCATTGGATTTGCTGTGAACCAAGAGGTATGTGGTGGGTGGGGCCCTTGGGCCAGCAGCCTCAAGCCCCTTGGGTCCCTAGGGCTCCAGTTCAGGTTTCATGTAGTCTTCCTTTTTGGTTTCAACCTCTGCATGCCTGTTTTTCTCCCTTTGTCATGGGCCTTAATCATGACTAGTAAATCCAAGCATGTGTTTTTCAAATCTGAGAAAGTAAACAAATGCAAACTGGTTTGGGGTGTGCAGGCTTGGGGCTTTGGCTGGCCCTTGTTTTCGCCATAGTCTTTTTCTGACGTGACCGTGGAAGGGGAGGTTGAGCAAATTGTCCAAGTTAGTCTCCATGTGACCCCTGGGGCGTGTGATTTAGTCATACATAATGAGAACTATTTTTGGAGGACAATTTTAATCCCAATATTCTGTTAATTCTTCTTTATCTTCCTGTAGCTATTAGTGTGAGAACCTGGCTGTTGCAGGGTTCCCATAGCCCCTTGGAGCTAAGCAACATCAAAGGGCTTGCAACAAAGGCATGGGATCACGGCTTAAACTTTATTAATCAGTTTAAGCTATAATACTTAGAAAAGCCGTAATTTCTTTGTAGTTACTATAGTTATATTTAAATAAGACTAGGGGCTCAGTGTTTTTCAAAAGCAACCCTCCATTAGAACACCATTTTTTTCATTTTAATCCTCAGTGTTAGCCTAGATTCTCTAGCATGGAAACAGAGAAGTTTATACCCATAAAACTTAAGTTGAAGCAAGATTTTTAATTCTGAAATTTGGGCAAGGAATTAATTATTCACTTGTTTCTCTGCTGAATGTTGTCATTGAACTGAGTAGGGGGTTGAGTAGTCACCTCAGAGGGTGATGCCCACGACTGCCATGTGAGTAACTGAGGGAGGGCCAGAGTGCTGTGGGCTGGCAAGGTCGCCAGCTGGTGAGGCCCACACCCTGTGACGGTACCCAGGTGGGCTGGGCTTTTAGTAGAGGGCCCCTGGTCAAGAGCAGCATCCCACCCTTCCTCACTATTCCCACAGGCTCCCCAAGTTTAGTCCAATTCTAGGACTGACCTGTGTCTGGGAAGCCCTTTAAAGCCAGGGTAGAAGAGTGGGGAGGATGGTTGAGTGTTGCTGGAAGGCCATATGCCCCTGGTACGTGCTGCCCGACCCATCTTCCCCGGTGATAAAACCAATTTTTGCAGGTTGGAGAACCCCTTCCATTGTAGTCAAGCTCAGCCTGGGCTGACGGAGACTTTCCTCGGGCATTTGGCCTGGGTCTTTCTTCATTTTCCAAAGGAATGAATACTTGGCTACCCACCGGAGTGAGCACACTTGCTGTTGTTAACCCTGACTAGTGAGAAGTCCGTAGAGGAAAGACACAAAAACACATGGGTGTCAGGCAGCATTTTTTTATTCCTTTTTACCATCCCTGAATGGGAGCTGTGGCCCATGGCCTAGTCACTGGTGTGGCCGCTGATTAGCATTTGCCTGCTCAGGGATGAGTCCCTGTTGGTGAGTCGTGTCTGTTTACCTTGGACTAACCTTGGGTTTCGTGATTCTGTTGGCATTACAGATACATTCTTCATCCTTCACACATCAGCAATTTTGAGGATTACTTTTGGAATATGGTTAGTCACAAGTAGCCTCCCACCATCCCAGGGGGGGAAAAAAAAGCCTTTCTAAAGAATTAAGCTTTTTCAATAACTTTCAGTTACTAATGCTTGATTATGATGTTACGTTTTAATATAGTTTTTTTTTTTTATTTTAGTACATTATTAAATATAGTAATTAATTTAAAAAAAAGAAAGAAAGCTTGCTACCATGCCCAGGTTTAGTTTTGAATCTAGATGCCAATTTTTTAAATTTTCTTTTGAAAATATTTTCTATCGCATTGTTATTGCATGATTCAGAACACTTAGAACACCTTCACCTTTGAATTACTGTGTAATTTTCTTTATCTATTAAGTGAACAGCATTTGTTTTCTGTCCTGCCCCTGCCCTCCAGCTTGAATTTGGAGTGATTTACCACTGCACAGAGGAGCGACTGTACACCGGCCGGCGGGGCCGGGGCGCCTTCTGCAATGGCCAGCGGCTGCAGGTCTCCGGGGAGACAGGTGGGGCTCCATGTGGTTTGTCTTAGTTCACTTCAGACTGAGAAATGTCAATGGAAAATGCCAGAAATCACCATTCCCCGAGATGGTGGTGGAAATCTCCTGCTGAGAGTTTAATCTCTTCTTAAGGACACTGTGTCCCTGAAGAACTGGAAATCGAGCTAGTCTGTTTCTTGTTTTTGTGAATGTGGCCAGGAGCTTTAAATAGTCTCATTCTGTTTTGTACTCACGTCTTTCATCCTGAATGCTAAAAGAAATCAGTCTTTAGTTATGATTTGGTCTCTAGCAGTCCAATGCCACGGGCAGAATCAGGAGCATCCTGTGGCCTCAGAGCATTCAGGTAAATGTCAGTCATCATGATGTCACCTGGATGATGTCACCCAGGTACAATCTGTGGCTCCCTGGATGTGGATCAACAGTAGCTGGCATCAGTTTCTATGAGAAGTCCTGTACATAAGTGATATTTTCACTCAATGCAGATGTTCCATTGTCATTGGTATTCCTCAAGCAGAACCTCAAGGGCACCCAGTAGCTCTTACAAAGGGACTACATCATACTTAATCTGCATATTACTACGTATCAATAACAGTACGCTGGTTTAGGTGTTTCACTGACTCTTTTTGGCTTTTCTTACTGATTAAACTGGTGACATTTTAGCACTTTGTAGGGCAGATACTGTCAGGGACAAAAAATTGCAAGATAAGAGAAGAGCCTAAGACTAGGAGCAGGCAGATTAGGAGAGGACTTTAAAAGGTCCATAATGGCCAGGCCAATGTGGCTCACTGGTTGAGCATCGACCCAGGCACCAAGAGGTTGCTGGTTCAATTCCCAGTCAGGGTACATACCTGGGTTGTGGGCCCGATCCCCAGTGGGGGGCAGGCAGGAGGTGGCCAGCCGATGTTCTCTCTCATCGATGTTTCTATCTCTGTCTCTCTCCCCCTTCCTCTCTCTCTAAAATCAATTAAAAAAAAAATTTTTTTTAAAAAGGTCCATAATGTCCATGTTTGGGTCTGGAAAAGTAGAAAGCACAGTTCCTGTTGACTTTTCACTTGCATATTCCTGCAGCAGGACATCATAAGGTACCCTTTCCCCCAGTTATTTCATTTACCCACCATGGCTTCAGTTTGTGGTGTCAACGCCTCCTCTGAGCTTCCTCTGCCTTCCTTACTGCCTCCCCTGTCTACCCACTTCCAGCTTCTTTTTAAAAAGTTTCTTTCCTAGTGTCCATTCTCCATTTTTTTCTATTTATTATGCCTTTTATTCCTCCGTGGATGACACCTGTGTGCCTCGATGGCCTCCAAGGCAATGAGAGGACTAAGGTGTGCCCTGCCCTCCAGCAGCTCCTCATCTAGTAAGAAGTAAGGTTCTCCAGCTGTGACCCTAGATGATCCGGGTGAGAGCGTGTCATCCAGGAGCCCTGCATTGTTAATTTCTTATATTTGGGTGTCTGCAACACCAAAGGTGTTGGTCTAGGTGCAGCAGGAGGCATTTGCTGTGGCACAGACTCCTCCTTGCAGTGCCATGACCCCACGAACAGCTGGTCTGTTAGGGTGGTGGCCTGTCGTATGAAGGAGAGGGCAGGGCAAAGGACTGCCTCAGGGAGTCTGAAGAGGCTCCCCATGAGAGTCACAAGCATGCTCAGGGTGAGGGGAAAGGGAAACGGTCACAGGAGGCTGCAGACAGAGGTAGGAGCAGCAGGGCACACTAACCAGTTACTGCTCTAGCCCCAGCCCTGCCCCATTTCTCCCTCTCCCAGAAATGTTTTGTTTGGCTGTGTAACACAATTACAGCCACACATGCCAAGAGGCAACTACTCAAGCTGAATTGTGTAACTCAGTAGTGAGAAAGCATGTTATTAAACACGCTTATGTGAACTTTGCTCTATATTTCATTTGATTATAACATTCAACTCTGTTCACACACACTCGGCTTCCTGGTCTGCTGCCTGCATTGCTCAGTTGTGCATTAAGACTTCACATCTTCAGGGGGTCTCCCAGACCGCTTGCCCAGCACTGGCTCATCCCGCCCATGTGGGCAGGGATGATTTCGCCCGTCATAGGCCCTATTGTCCCAGAGTGTTCATTGCTCACTGTCATAAACCCTCCTTGGCTAGACACAGGTTCCAAAGCTCTTCTGTGATTTTCTTTTAATCCTCACCCAAGGATATTTTTCCATTTATCTTCAGATAGAGTGGGAGGGAGGAATGGAGGGAGAGAGAAAGAAACATTGATGTGAGAGAGACACATCAACTGGTTGTCTCCTGCATGACCCTGACCATGGCCAGGAACCAAACTGCAACAGAGACACATGCCCTTGACCAGAATCAAGCCCATGACTCTTTGGTCCACAGGCCGATGCTCTAACCACTGAGAAAAACCAGCCATGGCTGTTTTTTCTTTTTTTAAATTCTAACTTATAAAGTCCAGTGTGTGTTTCAACCAGTCATTTTCTATTTGATGGGCAACTAGGTTTCTTTGGGGTGATGGAGCGTACTCCTGAGCAGCACAGTCGTTAGGCGTGTGGAGGCCTGGATTCCGGTCCTGATTCTGCCACCTGCTAACACTGTGACTTGTCAGTTAACCTATCCAAACCTAGTCCTCATATATAAAGCGGGGTGACGATGATGAAAACTTTAATGGTTAAATAAAATTATATATGGAAAGCACTCAGCAAATTCCCTGGCATGTAGTACCCAAAAATGAGAGTCATTATCAAAGAAGAAACTTGTCTTCATACAAGATCAATTATAGCCCATTGTTAAAATTAAAAAGCATTTCTGGAGGAAACAGCCATTAAAACACCCACCACCGATCTTTTTACCTGTGCTTTCTTTGCCTTAGCTTTTCCAATTCCTATTAAACCTTTCTGGAATGTCTTCAACTCACAAAAACAAAAACAAACTACACTGGAAAGGGGTAAAGGATTAGATGAGGCCAGAATTTTATTAGTAGCTTTTTCTTCAAATTTTACCAGGCTTTCAAACATGTGCAAAGCAGACAGAAAAAGTGCAATGAGCTCACATTACCCACCACACAACTCCAGTATGGCCAGTTCTGCTTCACCCACACCCCCACCTAACTCCCAGAACCCCAAACAACTCCCTGATACAAATCCCAAATATAATAACACTTTCTAGCCAGTATTTCCCTATGGATCTCTGAAACATACAGGCAAGTTCTTTGAAAAATGTAATCACAATACCAATGTCACACCCCTCCAAAAATTAACAATCATTTCTAAAATCATTAAGTATCCAGTAAGTATTCAAATTTCTACTTGTCTCGCCCTGGCCGGTTTGGTTCAGCGGTTAGAGTGTTGGCCTGTGGTCCTGAGAGACCCGGGTTCGGTTCCCGCTAAGGGCGCGTACCTCGGTTGCAGTTTGTCCCCGGCCCTGGTCGGTTGTGCGAGTGGCAGCCGCTCGATGTATTCCTTTCACATCGATGTTTCTCTCTCTCTCTCTGTTCCTCTCTCTCCCTCCTACTCTACCTGAACAAAAAATGGAAAAATGTCCTCAGGTGAGGATAAAAAAAAAAAAAAATTTCTACTTGTCTCATGTATGGAAAATGACCTTTCAGAACCACAGTCCAGAGTCTAGGGGGCATTGTAGTCCCTGGATCTGTCTTTGTTATGATGCCTTTTCAGTGGATGGAGCAAGGAAATGAATTGTTTTATAATATGAAATTCATCATGAATCCATACTGGTGTTCCCTATTCAAATTTATGACTACAGGGTCTCTTCTTAAGTCTTCTATGTATGTCTCCTCTGGCCCATGCTGAAAACCCTAGTGCACAGTGATACCAGGAATTTAATAATGTCACACAATCCATGTTTGCTTTATCCCACAACACATACATATCAGTTTCAGAATAATAATAGTAACCCTTCTATTAACAACTGATTACATTATTTGGGGAAGATTCTGAAACTGTCCCTATCTCCACATGACAAAATAACATGAGAGTTGTGCTATATTTCCAAAGTAAAAGAAAGAAATTTATGACATAACCATCATTGATGCCTCTTACCAAATTTAAGAGTGAAACTAACTATAAATACTCAAAGAGTTAATGACTAACAACAAATAAAGCTAAAATACTCCTCCCAAAAACAACTTATATTGCTTGTATACTGAAACATATCAAATAAAATGTTGATATTTAGCCCTGGCCAGTTTGGCTCAGCGGTTAGAGCGTCAGCCTGCGGTCCGGAGAGACCCGGGTTTGGTTCCCGCTAAGGGCGCGTACTTCGGTTGCAAGTTTGTCCCCGGCCCTAGTTGGTCGTGCGGGTGGCAGCCACTCGATGTGTCTCTTCACGTCGATGTTTCTCTCTCTCTCTCCCTTTCTCTCTCTCTCCCTCCCACTCTATCTGTACAAAAAATGGAAAAATATCTTCGGGTGAGGATAAAAAAAAAAAAATGTTGATATTTAACAAATTAATTGCCTTTAACATTAACCAATTTATAAACTTTGGAGGAGGGCAGGTTGAGAATGAAGAAGGCCTTTTTATGAACTTTTCCTCACAAAATAGAAGTACAGAATTCCGAGACACACTTGTTTACATATTTATTTTAAAAAATAACAACAACAAATGATTACTAAAAGTAGTTTGAAGAATTTTTTGGTGGTATTTTGTTTTGTCTTTTTGGAATTATTTTTGTCCTTCGTGAATATCCCATAGGGTCTAGGATCAGATCCCTTTTTCCTTAGGTTATGCCACAACTGAAGATAATCACTTAGATACATTTGCTTTACTTTATTTTTAATTTAGAAGAGTGATTTTTGTAAAATTGATTTTATTTTGTAATTATGTAAGAAACAAAAGTACAGGGTACCAAAGTCAAATCTATAAAACAAAATATATTCAAAAATGTTTAGCTTCTATAGATAACTGTTAAAAAATTTAATAGTTTTGCCCTGGCCAGTTTGGCTCAGCGGTTAGAGCGTCGGCCTGCGGTCCGGAGAGACCCGGGTTCAGTTCCCGCTAAGGGCACGTACTTCGGTTG